GAAAGTGGCTTTTGATTTTTTATCGATTTTTCCATTATGTCCCGTTTTCTCCATGTCAGACGGGGCCTAAGGAGATGAGACTCGGTATAGGAGTTCTTTAGGACATCATCAATGATACTGCCAAGTTTAATCGCGGAACACCATTTTTGAAAGCGACTTTTGATTTTTTATCGATTTTTCCATTATGACCCGTTTTCTCCATGTTAGACGAGGCCTAAGGAAATGAGACTCGGTATAGATGTTCTTTAGAACATCGTCAATGATACTACCAAGGTTAATCGCGGAACTCCATTTTTCACGACCTACATTTTTTTTTTCGATTATTCTGCGTCTTTATAATCACGCAGGTGAATGGAGAAAAATTTATATTTTTCGAAACAAAAGTTTAAAATTTAGTTATGACATTATCCATGTTGTCTTAAAAATGGCTGCTAAAACAGGCTGCTAACTTCACATTTTGGCTGCTGTAACTGGCTGCCAACTTCACACTTTGGCTGCTGTAATGCGGCTGCTAGTTTCACACCGATTCTTGACAGTTGTGCATCACACTTCAAACATGCGTTTCCTCTGAGCCACCTATGGAACCGGAATTTTTTAAAATATATACCAGGTGTTTGAATTTGAAAAAATCATCACACATAATGATAATGACATAGAAATTGTAATTAATGACACAGGAAGATGATGAAAAATAAAAGAGAATTTGTTGTGAGGTAGATACTTGGTTTCAAATTAGGATTTTAGTTTTTCTGTGACTAACCCAAACATTGATAGTGTAAATGAATAGTTTTTAAGATGTATTGGACCATGTGATATATTTCTTTTCTACAACGTCCAGAATCTAGATTTTTAGGCCCTCTAAAGACTTCTTGAATAAAGAACTGGAGTAAAACACTGTCTATCTTCACTCTTTATCTTATGAAAAATATAATCAGTTGAAAGGGGGGTATCGGATATTTTGGATCTATCATAGATCCATCATCAGCATGAATTCAAATGTTAGAGGGGAATATGGTCACAAGCATTAATGGTTATACAGAAGTGTTCATGTTGTACTCAACATAGGGTTGCTCATGCTGCATCCAACACAAAACATAAAGTTACAAAACTGGAAGAGAGGAAGCTTATGAGCCCGATTCCGAAAAATGTATCAAAGTTGAACTTACCAAAAGGTGAAGATCGAAAAAAGAAATATTATTTTATTATATAAACATTTGAAAAATTAAAAAATCAGATTGGACTGCCACACAAACAAAAAATTTGCCTATAGGAGGCGGAATTGTGGATACTCATCCCATACTCATTAATATTTTCAACAAATCATTATCGTCTGGAATTTTTCCAAAAATGTGGAAGCTCTCCTACGTTTGTCCTATTTACAAGTCAGGCAGCAAAAATGATGTTACAAAGTACAGACCCCTCAGAATTCTGTCTGCGATTCCAAAATTATTTGAGCAGTGCGTGGAAGAAATTCTTTCAAAAATATTTTATCAGATTGTAATCAGTCAACAGCACGGTTTTACAGCCGGTAGATCTGTTGAGACGAACCTGTTTCTCTTTACAACATTTATAAATTCATCATTTGCTAATAATGCAGAAACTCATGCAATATATACTGACTTCAGTAAAGCCTTTGATAAGGTAAACCACAACATCCTTCTTTCAAAGCTTTCAAGTTTTGGTGTTTCTGGACATCTACTTTCATGGATGAAATCTTACCGTACTAACAGAATGCAACAAGTCAAGGTCGATGGCTATCTTTCTTCTCTTTTCCATGCATCCTCTAGGGTACCCCAAGGTTCTCACTTGGGCCCCCTTCTATTCAGCTTATTTATCAACGATTTAGGATCGTTACTCTCCTCAATTTTTTTACTTTTTGCTGATGACTTGAAATTGTATCGTCAGGTGACGTCGTGACGTCAGCTCAAGACATACTTATTTTGCAAAATGATCTTAACATCGTTTATGATTGGTGTCAGCCTAATTACATGTCCCTCAACATCGATAAGTGTTGTTGTATAAGATTCAGTAGACGCACCCATAGTGTTCCCTTGCAGTATCACTTAAACAATGTTCGCGAGTCTGAACTTTCTATCATTAAAGATCTTGGTGTCTATATATCTAGATACTAGGCTAATGTTCTCTGAGCATTTTGAAGTGGTAATTGCCAGGGCTAATAAAATGTTGGGTTTTATTAAGAGAGCTACTAGGGACTTTACAAGTATACGCCCTATCAAAATTCTTTACACATCACTGGTCAAGTCCGTTCGTGAATTTTCATGCATAGTTTGGCCACCTTACTATCAGATCCACATCAATTGGCTTGAGAGTATTTAACACAACTTTATCAAGTTTGCAATATACAAACTGTCTGAGTGGTGTGATTCTCAGAGATGATCTGACTATGACTTACTTAGACTTATCTACTCTTGTTTGCAGAAGGGAATATTTTGATGTGTGTTTTGCATTAAAAAGCCACGAATGTCTTGAATGTTTTAATCTACACATTCAAAGTGATCGGACACGAAGTAAATCTCTACTGCACATTCCTTACTGTCGAACTACTGGTACTGACTATTCAGTCCTGTGAATAAAATATCTGCCAATGTAAATAAGTTCTGTGAGAGGTTTGAGTTCTTTGGTTTATCTGTGGATAAATTTAAGACGAAGGCCAGGAGAATTGTTTTAGGTTAGATTTTTTAGATTTAAACTCTGTACAACTTCAAACGTATTTTTCTTATATGTAAATAAATAAATTAATCAATTAATTAATTCTGGAGGTTCATGGGTATTTGGTTAATTAGATTCTTTCTTCGACATTTTAAGCTACGGAGTTAATATGTAATGGAGATGAGGAACAAAATGGTGGCCAAAAATTAGTGAAATCAACTGCATACAAAAAACTTTTGACAATTTCCAGAAATTAAATGAAGTAACTCCCTCTTACGACCACGAGCCAACGCTCAGAGCTGGACATGGGATAATCAAAGTTCAAACATTGAATATTCGAAGTACAAAAAGGAATTACATTTTGGTATGCAGCACATCCAGAGTTCCAGATGAGTGTTCACAATTCCGCCTTCTATAGGCATATTTTTTGTTTGTGTGGCAGTCCAATCTAATTTTTCAATTTTTAAATTTTTCAAATATTTATAATAAAATAAAAATTCTTTTTGCAATCTTCAGCTTTTGGTAAGTTCAACTTTGACACATTTTTCGAAATCGAGCTCATAACGGCTCATAAACTTCCTCTCTTCCAGTTTTGTAACTTTATGTTTTGTGTTGGATGCCAGCATGAGCAACCTCATGTTGAGTACAGCATGAATACTTCTGTATAACCATTAATGCTTAGGCATATCGTATGTGACCATATTCCCCTCTACCATTTGAATTTATGCTGATGATGGATCTATGATAGATCCGAAACATGTTCAACCCCTTTCAACTGATTATATTTTTTATAAAATAAAGAGTGAAGATAGACTGTGTGTTTTACTCCAGTTCTTTAACTATTCTCTCCACTCTGAGACATGGACTACTATTTCAAAACTTCTTAAATAGTTAAATATTCTCTACTTTTGTCAATTTTCCCATGTGGTAGGTATTTGTTAGAGTAGGCAACTGCATAATACTTTTCTACTCCAAGCCCTTTCTCCAAGCTGATGTTCTGCGTCATTGGTATATTTCTCTCCAGTTTCTAAATCATGAAGGCTAATCAATGACTCTGTTGATTCTGATCGAGATTCTGATGTTTCATCATCAACCACCAATTTAGTCTAAATTTTGTACTTTTTGCAGATTAGCTTTTCTTGCGGTTTTAGTATTTTTAAAGTTTCTTTTTTTTTTATAGCGATTTCCATTTGTCAAACCAGTGCAAAAATGTATCCCTATCCTTACATGTTACATGCTTTTAGAAAAAGATGCGGACACACTCAGTGTGCACTGACTGACCAATGGAAATCGCCATTAGTTTTGACTATTTTTCTCTCTATCTTTTATTGGTTCTTTAATTTTTTTAATTGTTTTTTTTTGTCTCTTTTCTTGGCATCTTTCTCCCTCACCCTTAGTAACCTATCTGATGATAATTTCCCATATTTTCATTCATCATTTTCATTCACTAGGTAACCTAAACTAACCCGCACCGATTTTGTTGTAGGGATAAATAGTTGTTGAGCCCTAGATACCATTGCGTGTATACACTGCATAATATGGATTTAAAATAATGGATATTTCTTTATTTTCACTAGGATGTTCATCTTCAGTTTGTGTTTCACTCGACAAACTTATTTGTGATTCTGATTCAGATGTGCTATTGTCTCTGCTTCTCGCCCTAACATTTGTCATACTTTAGGTCTATCATCACATCACAGAAATCACAAACCAGTCAGAGCGAATTTTATTGGTTGAAAGTAGTCAGAAAATTGGTTGTTGGCGATTTGCACCAATCAAAAACGCTCTGACTGGTTTGTGATTTCTGTGAGAACAGACCTTATCTTCATCTCATTCTCCTTCTTCTTCAAGTTCTAAACTCTTCGTAGTCTTGGGTTCAGTTATTAGCTCCGTTATTGGTAAACTCGTTGGGATATCAAATACATTTCAAACTGCCTAGCATTCAATGTTGCCTAAAACTTAGTGTAAAAGGCAAATACATAACCTACGGCTACCCCGTATTGGTTAAATTGTATGATATGCGATTTCTGGGTTAGAATGAGATGATATTCCCAGCGATTACTATATGATTCTCATGAATTCCTATGTGATTCCCATGGAGTCCTAAGAGATTTGTAGCGATTCCCAGGGACCCCCAAGTGATTTCCATGTATTCTTGATTGATTACTATGTAATTCCCAAAAAAATGTACAATGATTTCCACTAGTGGTTTACCCCTCGTTAAAATCTATTTTTTTGAATTGTTATAAAAAAGCAAATACAAAAATTAAATAAAAAATCTAACTTGTTTTTAAATGTCCCAAGATTTTAAACAACAAATAATCTTCCAGATAGCAAATGCTCAAGTAAGGGGAAAACTACATGAAACTCTAACTCCAGAAACCACCGATGTTAAAGATTACGATAGAAGCACTGAACAGTCACTTAAACAATACTACAAAGAATTCAGAAAAGTTATTGAAGCAGCCGATGTTGTTTTAGAGGTTGTCGATGCCCGAGATCCATTAGGCACCAGATGTAAGCAAGTAGAAGAAGCAGTCAACAAACTGCACGGCACCAAAAGGCTAGTTTTGGTACTAAATAAAGCTGATTTGGTGCCAAGAGATGTTTTAGAGAGTTGGCTGAAATATCTGAAAAAACGCGGCCCAGTAGTAGCCTTCAAAGCTTCAGTGCAGAATCAAAGTAAAAATTTGGGACAGAGAAAGTTTAATAAGTCTGATAAGGGCCTGCAAGGATCCGCGTCCATAGGCGCTGAATTAGTCATGTCACTATTAGCCAATTATTGTAGAAATAAGGGCATTAAAACGTCTATAACTGTAGGAGTTGTAGGTTTACCTAATGTAGGTAAAAGTTCAGTTATAAACAGTTTAAAAAGGGCTAGAGTGTGCAATGTTGGAGCTACACCAGGAGTAACAAGGACCGCCCAAGTAGTCCAACTAGATTCAAAAATTAAACTACTCGACTCTCCTGGTATAGTATTTGCTGCAGGGAATGATAGCCATTCATCATTGAGGAATGCTGTTAAAGTTTCTGCACTTGCTGATCCAATTACACCTGCAAATGCTATTTTGCAAAGGGTTTCTAAACAGCGAATGATGGAATTGTATGATGTTACCGAGTTTAGTTCACCAGAGGTAATATATTATTGGTTTTTGTTTGCAGTTGTCTAACAAATATTGAATTTGTAGGAGTTTTATAGTTTAAAAGCTGCTAGAACTGGTAGATTCAAGAAGGGTGGTATTCCAGATTCGCTGGCAGCAGCTAAAGGTCTTTTAGAAGATTGGAATAGGTAGGTTTCATTTGAGGTATAATTGTGCAAAATTGCAATTTTTATTTTTTTTCTAGTGGAAAAATTCCATATTATACAGTACCTCCAGAAGAAGATTTAGATCAAAGTTCTTACAAAATTGTATCGGAAATAGGCAAAGAGTTTGATATTGATAGTATCGAAAAAATGGAAACAGATATTTTGGACAAAATAAAACAAGATTCAGATAATAAATCCAAATCTTTTGTGTTGGATAGTTTGGGTCCTGTAGATGCTGAAGAGGAAATGGAGCAGGACATTGAAAATAATGAACTTGTAACTACTTAATTATTATTATCTCAGGATTCCTGATTGTTATCAAATTATTTCTAGCTTGGTGAAAATGTTAATATAGCAAACAAAAAGACCGAAAAGAAAAAACAAACACTAAGAACGTCTAGATTGAAGAAAGCAAACCCAGAAATGGAGTTAGAAGGGAATCTACAATTGAACCAATTGAAAAAGAAGCAATTTAAAAAAGAGAAAAAGGAGAGGAACAGAAGGGACAAAGTAGCCATGCAGCTTTCGGCAGGATTAGAAAACTTTAATCTGAAGAGTGACAATTTAAAGGAGGGCAACGAGGATTATGATTTTGATGCTCACTTTACTGAGAGCTAAATTAAGTTATTTATTTGAACGAATTGTATATGAATTGTTTCAATTGGTTTTAGAGAATAAATTCGTAATTAATACAAAATTTCTATATTAATTAAGAAAAATCAGCCCATCGAAAGTATCCATGTTTTCTCATATAATTATCCATATAAAAAAAGTATATTTAGATATTTTTGAAAAAATATCGTATCGATACCTATGAATATCGATATATAAACCCTCCTCTAGTTTGAACTGAGTCTTTCAAAAAATTTGCCTATGCCAGATCATATGCTAATATGTTTGTCTCTTTTTAATGGTGGTAAATAGAAAGAGAAAAAGATATGCGAGTTGTCTATTTACAAACTAGTTTAAACTGACGTAAACAAAACTAAATCCACATAACCTGAAATTTGATTTTGCTTCAAGTTTGGTGTAATTTTTTCATATTCTTTTATTTATTTACAATAATTTCCAATCAAACCATGAATTAAACCTCGATTTCCAATCCCATTAAAATGATCAATTTGATATTTTACAAAATAAAATCCTTCTTCCTTGTTTTCATCAATCTACTTCGAAGGGCGTTATGTTGTTTCCGTAAACGTCGGCACAGTTTTAAAGATTCCGAAACGTTGACCCACGTAATTTCAAATTTGGAAGAGCAAAACGACGCCCCAAACTGGTCAGAATGGGGCGACAATTTTAAAGACCACAAACCGAAAACTGTTCAGGATTACATTGAGCTTTACCGAGAGCAAGCTGTGAAGGCTAGGACTGCTGTAGAAAAGGCTGAAGAAGATTCCCCTGAACAACAGTTTTTCGAGGACATGGCCCCACAGATTATGAAGCAAACGAAGGTTTTCGTGAGGTCGAAGAATGATACTGTTAGTAAGAGGACTGTGAATACTAGACTGAATGCTGTGGAAGATACTGTAAATATTATTGTAAGTAACTATCATGTTATTTATTTTGGATTTAAAAAAAATTATTTGATTTACTACAGATTTGATGCCAGTCTCATACAAATTCATTTACATAGCTTGTGCATTAGAAGTTTTCCAGTTTGCAGGTGGATTAGTATTAGTACTATCCTCGGTATTATCTAATCCACCTGCAACCTAATCTATGAGATATGTAAATCACCTAAAGGTTTTATGGTACTGGGTGTTTGTTCATAATTTAAACACTCAGTAACTTTCTATTATTGAAAATAGAGGGCATGTGAGAGAGCATGTTTAGGTTGGAAAATTTTTTGGTAAATTGCAACCTTTAAGCGATACAACGAGGGATCAACCACTCATCAAAAAACGTACAGTGTTTTTAAGTTTCTGGGAATTCTTCTCAAATTTGTACAGTAGGTATTTCCAAGAATTCCCTGATATTTCCAAGTATTGCGTGTCACTTCCCAGTATATCCAAATATTCCTAGATATTTCCAAAGCATTTCCAAAAACTAAATTGTAATTCAAACTTTTTTCAAGTATTTCTTTAGGTATTTCCTCGACGAGGGATTCAAAATTCAAAATTTTATTCACTCAAAAAGCATTCTACAAAAAGTTAAAAATCTTACAATAAATAAATTACAGTCAAACAAAAAATAGATAGGATAATCTTAATTAACAAACAGAACCTTAAAAATAACGCAAAAAGCACAACATAGAGGGGATCAACCACTCATGAAAAAAACGTACAGTGATTTCCAGTTTCTGGGAATTCTTCTCAAATTTGTCCAGTATTTCCAAGAATTCCCTGATATTTCCAAGTATTGTGTGTCACTTCCCTGACTTCCCCGTATATCCAAATATTCCTAGATATTTCCAAAGCTTTTCCAAAAAACAAATTGTATTTCCAAGTTTTTTCAAGTATTTCCTTAGGTATTTCCAACAAATAAAAATGTTTTCCTTGTCCTAGTTATTTTTTTTGTGAACTAAACACAATATGCCAACTGCAGGCTTTAGGTAATGGAAAATTAGGGTCAAAATGTTAATCATTCAACTGCCATTGAATATCCTTCGAATGAAAATACGAATAGTTTCCTCTCTATCATATTCTTATGAAGAGATATCCCTGAATTGTTTAAATACACAGTGCACCCACTATCTTTTTGTTATCTCAGGTTCGATCCTAGGTTATATCCGAGGTTATATCTATGTTATTTCCAAATCTTTAGGTACCTAATTAGGAAATTTAATGGATGAAAATAAAGGAGGAATTTTATTTAAACACATTACATAATATACAGAGTGTCCCACGGTGGATGGCATATTAGACATTTATGGAAAAAATAAAAATTGGATCATTTTGAAAATTTGGCAACCGGGATAAACGATCATGATCTACACTTTAAAATCATTTTTGACCATGCGGCGTTGATGCTTCTACTCTAAACCAGTGGCAACATCGCTATTTCAAATGTGTGTGATTGCATATTTGGATTCTACGTAAAATTCTGAGCAGATTTCATGTGATATATCCTATACCTAAGTTCAACTGTTTTGGAAATATTGACAGTTGAAAATTGACTTTTTGCAACTTTGACAGGTTGTAAAACCTAAACGGTTAATTTAAGAGGAAAACCGATTTTACATTCCCTTCTTAGATTTTCATAAACTATCACAAACTATCAACCAACTTTGAATTTAACCGGAGATTAAATTTAAATGGAATTTTTAATCATAGATACCACCCCAAAAAGCGCAAAATTTCTGTTTCACCCTGTATCTCGGAAACGAAACAAGGTGGCACAATTCTGTTTTTAAGGCATTCAAAATTTCACGTAAATAACTGATACAAGGTCGCAAAAACCGCAAAGTTCTATCTCAGCTGGTTACCGAGATACCCTCTGATTACAAGGAATTTAGGACACAGTGTACAGGGTGGTCGGCCTGGAGGTTGCTTTTAAGAGAGGCCTAAAAATACCCTTATAAATTCCCGAGTAAATGCTTCATAAATTTGAGATAGATTTTAGTACCGAATCTGTACATAATTCTTGAGATTTTAATGGAAATGCCCAAAAATATGTTAAAACTGGGGTTGGAAGTGAAAGAAATTTACAAGTACTTCTATGTATTTCAAAATTATTCCCATGTACTTCCAGAATATTCTTATGTACTCCCAGAGTATTTTCAAGGATTTCCAAGTATTTCGGGTATCCCCAGAGTATTACCAAGTATTCCTGGGTATTCCCAAAGTATTCCCAGCAAAGTGTACAGTGATTTCCATGAGTGATTTACCCCTCGCGATACAGTGATATTTTTTTGTCGTCATAGGTATACAGCTCGGTATACAGGGTGCGCGAAAAAGGTATTTTTAAAAAAATGGAACGCCCTTTATATTTTTGTTATCCATATAGTGTTTGATATTTTTGTGAAGCTAATTTTCTAAGAATTTTAGAAATGCAAAAATATACAGGGTGTATATTTTAGGTGATGCTACTATTGCTATATCCGAAGGCGTAAGAGCTACAAGGTTGGTTAAATTAGAAATAAGTTGCCTTTTTTGATGATTATTCAGCACTCGTTTACAGTGTTGCCAAATTCCTTTTAGTTTATGAAATACAGGTTAATAACTAGGGCCGAATGAAGGTAAAATTTGTGTAAAAATCACTGATGATCACTTTTTAAAGCAGAAACGTCGGCCAATCATACTTAAGAGCTATATTGTTGAAAAGGTAATAAAGGGCGCTTTCTAAAAATGACATAAAAATCCAGGTCCGCATTTAAAAAAATTAGGTTGATGATGGTAGCTCGATCACGAAACGTCAGATTTAAAATTTGAAGATGCCACGTTGTAGAGCGAAAGAAATTATAAAACTTTAAAATTTAAATTGTGTCTCGAAACTCAATAGTTTCTGAAATAATTGATGAAATATTTTTAGGCGTTTCTTAGAAATCACCCTGTATTTCGTAAACTAAAAGGAATTTGCCAACACTGTAAACGAGTCTTGAATGGGCATCAAAAATGGAAACTTTTTTCTAATTTAACCGCCCCTGTAGCACTTACCGTATCGGATATAGCAATAGTGGTATTAAAATATAATGCGTTCCATTTAAATAAAAAACTTTTTTGGCGCACCCTGTATACCTATGGCGACAAAAAAATATCGTTGCTGCGAATAAGACAATTTACCAAGAAATTTTCCAATTTAAACCCTTTATTTTCAATAATAAAAGAGTTAGGTACTAAGTGTTCCAGTTATAAACAAACACCCTGTCTTTGGTTTATTGTTTATTCGCATAGGTACCTACTAATAATTCTCCTATAAAAAGAATATTAATTCCCGAGTTAATTCCATTCCAAATACCTACCTACTGACTTTACTAAGTTTAAGTTAGCTTTTCTTTTGAATAGTGATTTTATTTGTGGAAGATTGTCCAGGTATAGGAGGTCAGCCTAGATTTAGCTTCAGATCTTTTCCATAATAACATTAATGAGCTAAAACCTTGGAGAACTAACAACCATATCTGGGACTGTAGGAGAAAATGGGCCCTATGAAAAAGGTACTTATGTACCATCAATCCCACTGACTACAGGGCACATCGCACCTTCTCTAAAACTCTAACACAAAAAATCAAATAAGCTAAGCTGGCATACATTGACAGCCTGGCAAACTATGAGAACCCAAAAAAACTACACAAGTCTAGGAGCAAACTACCTAGGAATTCTTTGCTGAAACTGTGGGAAATTTAGAGAAATTTGTGGGGGATTTGAAGGAATTTATGGAAATTGGGAGAATTTATTGGTTCTAGAACTGAGCGTAATAAACATAGAAAAATACCAAGAAAAATGCAATTCTTATCACGAACAATTTTGGGTATTTGTATTCGGGGTAGTGGTTTACCCCTTGACACAGTACATCAGATCACAACCAAACACCAAAATAGGCATTCCTATTCTAAAAACTCCAAATGGGGAAATATGCACAGACAATATTGAGAAACCCACACCATCTTGGCAAAAGAGTTTTCTAAAGTATTCACATAGGAGGCATTAATTCCTGAAGATCCCTAACAACTGGACAAAATCATTAGATCAAAAAAATTCCCATTGATATATACCAGGATATATACTTGGATTTTTCCAAATCATCTGACCTAGTCCCAAGCCAGAGGCTTCTGCTAAAACTGGATCATTTTGGTGTGAGGGGGGATTTACTGCTTTGGACCAAAGACTATATTACAAAAAGGGAGTAGGTACAAATTCAGAGTTGGCGACTATTACCTATAATCTGAACTCTATCCAATAGCACGTCTTTTGTTTGTAATTTACACTACAGCTCTCCACAATCTAATCTCCAGAATGATTTAAACCAAATTGAGAAGTAATGTGAGAACTGGCAACTACCCCTTAATGTGGAAAAATGCGTGGTACTGTACCCCAACTTGGGAAAAATAACCCAGAAAATGAATACACCATCAATGAGTCAATACTAGTCAGTGTTCAACAACACAATGACCCTTGAGTTCTGATAACCAAAGACTTGACCTGATCAGCACATGTAACAACAATATGCACAAAAGCAAGTTATTTCTCCTAAAGAAGGTCTTTCTAAATACCCCCCAAAAAGCTTTACAAAACTGTATAACATATACTGCAGGCCAATCCTAGAATATGCAGGTCAGGCTTGCCCAGACCTCATTAGAGACACAATAGCCTTGAAGATGTACAGAGAAGAGTAATACGATTGCAACTTGGTAGAAGAGGAAATACATATGAAGAAAGATTTAGAACAACAAAAACTGCTCCACATAACTTCCAAAATAGAAGAACAAGAAATCTCATTCCCACCTACCATACACAACATTCCTCTATGCCTTCAACACAGACTTATGACTCACAGTCTCAAACTTAAAAAAGAAAACTACTCCACAGTGTGTAGGGAGAACTTTCTACCAAACAGAGTATTTGTCCTCTAGAATCAACTCCCAGCTCCTTCAGTGTCAGTATTTAAGACAAAACTTGATAGTCAGTTCCCATAGTGTTTAAACTGAAACAAATGTTCTAACCAAAACTACAAAAAGGTCTTATTTCAGCCTATATCGACTAGAAAGATAATATTAATAGTAGTAATATTATTTGCCTCGATGCCACCTTAAATCTGTATTAGTATTTGTTTTTCAGCCGTCTGGTGAATTAGGAGAATGGGATGAAAATAGTGGTTGGGATGGAGAACAGCTCTTAGACGAAGAGGCCCAAAAAGTACTTAGAGAGCAAAAGAGACTAGAGAGGGAAAAACGAGCTTGGGAGCAGCATCAGAAGAGACTGGAAAAGGCCTCACGTACGTTGGGTTCCAAATTGGTCACATAATATTCAATGATCAGTTTTGTGTTGGTAAAAATATTTATTTGACAGTTTTTAGTCTGTTAGCAATTATTTTTAAAGACAATATTATTATTATGTTAAAACTACCTAAAGTATTCTTTTCATTGTTTTGGACGTTTTGAAATAAATTCATTTAATTTTATCAAGATTTACATACAATATTAAATATACATATAAAAATTAAGAAACCTATATAAATATTATTCAAGGTGTGTACATATAATGTGTGTGTGGCAAATATTAGTGTTTTCATCAAGAAAACTATTTTATTCTAAACATAATATTTTCATCAGCAACAATTCTTCAATGTCTGACACATTTTTGCCTCTTGGTGCTCCTATCCATTTCACATCTTTCGTAGGAGTTACACTTGACATTACCGCAATAACTTCCTGTGGCTGTTTCTAAAAAATTGAACATTTTTTAATGAGTTTTTTGCTAATTACATATTCCTACTGGAGTTTTGATTTTTATATCCATCCTTTGTGGAGTCTTTCAAATGATCAGGTACGCAAGATTTCATGTTGCAAACGTTCGGGCAACATTTTTTCCCAAAACATTCAGAGTCGTCTTTGCATTTTGGGGAACAGGAAGTCATTTGGTTTGATAATGGGCAGCTATCTGAAAAAAAAAGTTGCAGCAATGATATGCAATCAGTGAGTTAAAATTAAATTAGCAAGTAATTGGTCATAAGGTAAATAAAATAGTTACGATAAACCAAAGGGTGAACGATTGTTATGATTATTAAACTGTTTACTAACCCAATGACCTACGTTGCAATTTAAAGTCACTACTAATGCTAACTGAACATTTACAGCCGTATTCAACATCCTTTTTCAAAATCACTTTTAGGTAAAATTGTTTCTAACTAAAAGCGATATGAGTCAAGTAAAGTCTGTTTTTTTTTTTAAAGATAATTCCCCAAGTCAAAAATTTAGTAACTATGTTGGCAACACAAGCCTTTTCTACATAAAAAAATTGAAGGCATTGACAATTTTACATTGCATTGCCAACATAATGTCATTTTGACTTTTATCTTTAAAAAAAAAACAGATTTTATATACGGTTGTTAATGTTTGTGTGAGGTCGGAGGATGAGATGACAATAGAAAAGTATCAAATTTTAAGACCCATTTTGTCCAATCTTGATGTTGAAAAGTTCTTACTGTTTGGAAAAAACTAAATAAGATAAGAAGATCACATAGGTATTTTACTAACCTTATACGAAATTTTGAGTCCAACGGTTTTTATACTAAAAGCAAGACTCTAGTAATGATCTAAATCTAGAGTAAAAATAGGTAACAGGTCTGTTACAAGTATTTTTATTTACTGACCAGGACTATATGTCAAGGCTAATGTATATCTTCAAAACTTTATGTAGCAATGGTCCATATGATGGATATTCTAATTCAACTCAATAATACAACATGCCTAAATAATCTTCAAATTTCGGATGATCAAGAACTTTTGCCAATCCATTATCTGCTTCTCAAAGGTTTTGAAAAGTAGTATTAGTCTTAACAGTTAGTGGTATCATTTTCCTGCCTTTTTGAAATTAGGTATATGCAACAAATATAAATTTTGTATTTAATATACTCACTATCAATCGAGGTGACCATGGATATGCATAGCAGGGCTAACAAGAGCAAAATGTACAATTTTCCTGGAAAAAAAAGTTATTTTAAAAAATGTAAACTAAAAAAAAAATCAGAATGAATCTTATGAACTTATTAGCAACCTAAAATGACCCTGAAGCTAAAGGGAAACATTTAATTTAGGAGTACCTACTGAGAAAAATTACGTAAGCAATTTTTTATGTGGTAAATGTATTTGTTACTTGTGGTAATAATCATATTTTTATGCCTTCAAAACCATTAAATAATAATTTATAGCGTGACTCTGCAACCAGTTTGTTCATAAAAGCGAATCACAGCTTAAATAAAATTATTGCAAAATCAAATTTGCATTCTGGGAATAACTAACTGGGCTTTCAAAAGGACAATACCCTGACATAATGAGAAATTCGTTATCTAGTTCAGCAAATTGGGAAAGTTGGAGTTTAGCCATTAGGATAGCGTGGAAAGTTGTATAGGCGATTGGTCTTCAATACACTCCAGTCATAGTTAAAAAGCAAAACGTCAAGAATAGGAATTAAATAATTAATAATCTAAGTTGATATTATTAATCTGGCATTCTGTTTCATTTCCTAGAAGCTTCTTGATGGATACCTTATTTGATAATTGACTCTTAATTACAATGTAGCAAACTTTATTGTGAAACTTACCCATTGTGATATTTTCCTCTCTCGCTAAATACGTCCTTAATAAAAATCCTCAGCAACAAATCAACAGAGTTATCTCACCAACTAACTGAATAATTGCAACTGAGACGTGAAATTTAAAAACGGTCTTAAACTTGTTTATATGTTTTAATCTCATTTAAAAGCTCATATCCTTAGGCTATTACGGGGTCAGTTTCTGTGGTTTTAGAGAGTTATTGCATGAAGTGATTTCGATCATTAGGTATTGATTTGGGTTTATAGTAAATTGGAAATGTTTTGTCTAATCTCTAATGATAATTGGTTTCTGGTCTAATTAAATATTTACACAAATCTTTGGAAAATCCACACAAGAAACTACAAATAGGCTAACTTATCAACAAAGTCTTATTCCCGGTATCATTATTTATTGTGGTTGTGTACTTTTAGCGATATACACCTAATTTATTTATTAGTCATGGTGCTTAAATTGTATTGCAAACCTTGTGATGTGCGTTTCTTTTTCTTAAATTTCATAATTGCAATCATTAGCATATATTGACGTTTCGCCATCGTGATTTATTTAGCATGCTATCAAATTTAGAAAGAAAGAGGCACAATTAACACTGAAAATATGCCCCCGTAAATTTCAGCCAAATTTCAATATTTTAAAGGTATCATCATTGCCAAAAAAAAAATGAAATGTAAAGAGGATCGTATGTCTGTAATAGCAGAGATACAGCTTGTCAAAGTACGTGGGTCCTGATGCTTTGCTATGCATAGGAAATATCCGAGGAAATATCCCCACATAGATATACAAGAAAATCTATGCAGTCGTAGGAATATTTCCTATGCATAGCATATAGCAGGACCTACGTACTTTGACAAGCTATATCTCTGTTATTACAGACATACGATCCTCTTTACATTTCAATTTTTTTTTGGCAATGATGATACCTTTAAAATATTGAAATTTGGCTGAAATTTACGGGGGCCTATTTTCAATGTTAATCGTGCCTCCTTCTTTAAAAGGTTGCTTGAAGCTTGTTTGGACTTAAAACCATCTTTAGAGACTGCTCTGGAGCGATGGCGATTTTCTTAGGACATGGATCAGAAACGGTAATCTCGGGAGTTTGGGATTTGGACGTGTCATCCTGCTCATTAGGTTTCGAGTCTTCACAGGCTTTTCTGGATCCAAAACGGAAGAACCTGGATCTTTTTAGCTGGTTGGGAAATCTTGTCCACAGAGTTTCTGATGAGATCAAGACCTGGAACAACTTTTGGTGTCCAATTAATCTCCTCTCATCATTCTGTTGTGTCCAATTTTTGCATGTCGTTCATGTTACTGTGAGGGTGGTACTAGGTGATAATTATATTTCTCAAAATGCGGTAAATTTCCATTAAACTGATATAAGGGATATTCTCCTCAAAAGCTCTGTTGGAACATTATTATCAATCAAGCCCGAATGAAAACACTTTATCAATTGATATCAATGTTTCAAATAATTTATTTCAATAAGGTTAAGGAAGATGAAGTCTTAGATTTAATAGATTTACAGAGTCGATTAAACAGAGCTGAAGAACTCTTGGACTCATTTAATGAGGCTCAGTGCTCATTGAAATTTCTGATCCTGACTGTGAAACAAATTATGAAACTGTAAATGCAGTTGAACGACAAAAATTTGAGGATGAATTTTACTCTATCACCTCTGAAGTTAAAGCATTCTTGGATGCTCAAGAGACAGTTGATTGTCAGGATAATGCATTAGGCAGTAAGTATTCACAATTCAGGAACAGTAAAAACTTCTAATGTCCAATTACCTCCACTTAATTTACTAACATTTGATGGATCTTTTGATCAATGGCTTTTCTTTCGTGACAGTTTTAATTAAATTATCCATCAAAACACCATCAGTATTTTCAAAGTATAAAAGTTTCATTATTTGCGCTTGCTGCTTCTGATACTGATAAATCTTTACAGATTTGTGACACTAATTATGACAACTTCTTATTGAACGATATGAAAACCAATCACTGTTGATTCGTAATCACATTAGAGCACTTTCTAATATTCCCTTCTTTCCTAAAGAGACTTATCATGGTCTCAGAAACATTTTAGACTAAACACTAAAACATTTGCGCTCTTTGAAGGTTCTTGGGAGTCCAACTGAACATTGGGATGATCTCGTTATATATCTCACTACAACTAAATTTGATAATGCCACACTCTGTGCCTGGGAATCAGGAGGCAGGACCAATCAGTTAGCAAATATGGAAAATATGCTAGACTTTCTTGAGATTCTAGAGTCAATGGCTTCAAATTCCAATAATGAAAAAACAAAGCCTATCGAACCTCATACCCTAAGACTTTCTTAACAACACCACAAACAAAATGTTTTCTCTGCAATAAGCAACATACAATCTATAATTGCTCTGAACTCACTCCCTTTCTTAGGCTAAGCAAGGCCTAAGAATTGCGCTCGTGCATGATCCACCATACAACAAAAATACACAATATTCAACGTCTTCCAATACCAACCTTACTCAGCGTTAGGAAATACAAGTCTCACAAGACAGCTCACTATTATGTCATATTGATTTTCCAACCGATTCACCTCATAAACCACATATTTTATTGTCCACAGCCATTCCAAAGGTCTTTGACAAGAGTGGTAAACAACATGACTGCAGAGTCCTACTCGACAATGGAAGTCAGTCGAATTTCATTTCACAGAGACTTGGCCATATTTTGAAATTACATTTTAACATTACAGTTTCTGCGATTAATAATTTAAATCACAATTTGAATTTTTTAGTTCAGATAAGATTCGAATCAGTTATTAATAATCTTTCAAATTTCTTGCTTAGTTTTTACCTCAGATTACTGGAAATTTACCTTACACAAATCTTGACATTTCTTTATTGAACATTCCTACTGGCATCACACTGGCCGACCCAAGATTTGAAATTCCTGCTCCAGTTGATCTTCTCATAGGTGCTGATACATTTTGGGACCTTCTAAGCATTGGTCTGATCAAACTTGGAAAAAATATGCCAACCCTACATAAGACCAAACTTTGCTGGATCATCTGTGGTCCACTACACGTCAGTCCTCGAAATAGAAAAGTACATTGTCACTTCTCAGCCAATGTTGATATTTAGAATCAACTTTCCAAATTTTGGGAAATTGCCCGAAAAACAAATTTCTTTCAGAAGAAGAAACAAGTTGTGAAACTCACGTCACACCGCCACCTGATTGTGTTGGTTGGGTAAGGTAGACTTTGTTTTAGTACTGGTAAAGGCCTTTTTTGTATTGCGGTAGCGTGCCACCAGGGACTTTGTTTAAAGTCCCACTGAAAATCTAGGTAACTTTGAACGGCTACTTTTTAGTAATCTGATTAGATCGCCTCTTCCAGTGCGGGTTCTTGGTACCTGAGCTGTACGCAGTTAGTTGGAATGCAAGCTCGGGGTTTTCCTAAGGAAATTAAAGTATCAGTTTTTCTTATTAAACAACAATGGTTTATTGAGTAACTGATGAAACTTGGTAAGGTAATAAAAGAAAAACAAAGAATATACAGTAAGTTATTAACAAGTTATACTGAAATGAAATGAAAGAAATTACAAATAGAGCTTTTGGAATGATAGGGAGTGAAATTAATGAGCGTCCTGTATATGGCGTTCCTTGATGATACAAGTTACATGAGAAATTAAGGATTAAAAGATATAGAAAATAAAGACTAGGTTATCATTCTTAGTGGCAAACGGCCTTGTTATTCAGAGTGAGATACATGTTGGAAAAGAGATTTGAGTTGTGAAGCTAACCCAACGGTTTTGTTCTTTACACAGGGGAGAAAATAAATAATAGACAGAAAACAACAATCATTTAAAATACTTGAAATTGAGACATTACTTAGAACTCAGAAAGAGAGCCAGCAGAAAGACGTCAACACTAAACACCAGAACTTCATCACAGAACTGAATGAATCTAGGAGGCTCACAGGCCTATCTATATTAGCAACTTACCGTGCGTTCGTTATTTTGGTCTGAGTTCTCCGAGCTTGACTTTACCGTTCGTTTATTTAAAAAGTGTACTCGGTGCAGCCTCATTCGCGTTCGTTTATTAAAATTTCCGGTACTTTTATACGGCGTTCAACTGCTCCGTTCGCTCGCTGGTCACGTGATTACGGCTCCGCTCAGCTCGCTCTACACTTTGAGCAAAATATCGAACGCAAGGTTAATGACATTTTTGAGACTCTTATCGGTAGCACAACTTGCGATTTTTTCAAAAAACCAGGGGTCAAGAATCATGTTTTAAGACACAGTCATCACACTCTTTCGGAAACCGACTGATAACTCTTGGCTCTTGGTACGGTTTCGTCAGAAATTTGGCGATTTTAATCTAACTGGGAAAAAAGCCAATTAATTGTATTACGAAGCAAAAAAAAGGATTTTCAGGCCGTTTTGTTACAATATATCCATCTTAAGCACATGTTTCTTTCTGATAATCAGAACGAAAAATCAGGTTTCTTCTCACCCCATCACTGTGTTTTAAAAGATTCGTCGACAACAACAGAATAAAGGGTAGTTTTCGATGGGTCTGCTAAATCTACATCTGGATATTCCCTAAATGACATAATGATGGTTGGGCCTACAATTCAGGATAATTTGTTCCATATTCTATTATGTTTTCGCAAACATAATTTTGTTTTAAGAGCTGACATATATCAAAAATGTACACATAAGTTTTTGTCAAACAGAATCAACGTCATTTGCAGAAAATTCCTTGGAGATTTTCTAATAATGAGGACATTTCCATCTATACCTTAAATACCATTACATATGGCACTGCTTTAGCTTAATTTTTAGCAATCAGAGCATTCCACGCCTTATGAATGAATATCCCAAAACTTGCCTCGACAATCCTAAATTATTTTTATGTGGACAACCTCCCCACTGGTTGCGATACTCTGGAAGAACTAATTCAAATTAAAAACGACGTTTCACGCTTCTCATCAAATATGGATTTCCATTAAGGAAATCGAAATCCATCAATAGTCAATACATGTTTTTAAATCTTATATACTTAAAAATTGGTCAATTCCATATGAAACGTGTAATAGGCGACGCTTCTCTAACATATGAGTAGTTTTGTACCGTCCTATATCTAATATATATGTAAAGAATGCGGAAATCTAACCGCTTCAGAGGTTAAAGTGCTACAGTTATCAACCAAAAGAGTTATGAAATTCCATTGTCCTCAGTGTATTGATGCCAATCCTACTGACAAAGCTGGGCAGAAAACCGTTAATCCGTTATCCGTTAATTAACGAAGTTAAAAAAATTGCTTAAATTTAACTTTTAAGTTAACCTAAAAAATATTAACGGTTTTCTTAACTTCCGTTACATTGGACTTCCGTTAACTTTAGTCCGTTACGTTCGTAAATGACGTCATTTTGTTTGCTTGAACTGCGCGTCAAGGTCAATGGGGACAGTTCGCACAGACGTAGAAAGATTTCAGTTCACTACACTACGCAGTTTGGAATTCTTCTGGAATGACTCCAAACCCGATTCCGTACAGTGAGATCGATGCGCAAGCCCTTAGTTCTGTTGTTAGGTAGGCTGTGAGCTGAGGCATGTCGTTGGGCTGTGGCGTCGTCTCCATTGTTCTATAAGCTCCATTTTCTTGCAAAGGTGAATAGTAAATAAATCAGCTACCCAAATTGGAAATAGTGCCGCTTTTTAGATGTAGATACTTTTTGTTTTATTCACATTCACCTGTGTAGGAGTGTAGGTATAGTATTTTCAATACCTTGCGTTATATTCTCGAAAATTTAACGAATAACAATTATCGAAGTTAATTTTCTAAATAGCGAATTAACGATTAACGAAGTTAACTTTTCGATTAACTGTGCCCACCTTTGCCTACTGAGATATTCAAAAAGTTACTAGAATGCAAGGAATCATTATTAGCAAATAAAATATCAATTATTGATCTACTTAAAGAAGAAATAGAGGGATTTAAGAAAAAAAACATGAAGAGGCAAGAGGTGCAAGAGTACAGCTATAGCTATAGTCAAGCATTACAGGCAACAAGAAAACAAAAAGAAGAAGTAATCATAGTGAAACCAACAAACGTAGACCAGACAAGTCAAGATACTAAAAAAAGTATTGAAGAAAAACTAGACCCCTGCAATTTAGGAGTTAAGGTATCAAAGATAAAGTATGTACGAGATGGAAGAGTAGCTATTACATGCAATCAAGAAGATCATGAAGGAAAGTTGCAAAATGTATGTGATAATATTAAAAATTCATTAGGCCAAAACTATGAAGTGAAAATCCCTGAGAAAAAAAATCCACGAATGATAATTTTCAATTTGAACCAAGCAGCATTAGAAGATGAAGATAGTTTTTTTTGGAAAAATTAGTAATACAAAACACCATAACCACAAATGATGAAGTAAAACAATTAAAAATAGTTCATAAATATAAAATATATTATAAAATGACACTTTTAGTGACGTTTGTAGAAAAATAATGAGTGAAAAAAGAAGCTTTACGCACGTATTGCATACAAAATTTTTTCTACTACCAATCAAATATGTTCAAAAACTAGATTTAGACAAATACTTCACGCACTAGTGCGTGAAGTATTTTAACTTTACGTACTAGTGTGTGAAGTAATTTACCAGAAAAATACTAAATTGACAGTTGTCAACATCTGTCATTGACATTACTTTACGCACTATAGTGTGTGAAGTGAGTTACTTTACGCACTAGTGCGTGAAATGGAATTTTACATCTTCTGAATAGTGCGTAAAGTGAGTACTTTACGCACGGTAGTAGAAAAAGTGTTTTTTGTTGCTTTCGCCATTTAGGCCAAAACAAAATATCATGTGTTATATATCGTTGAACTCGCAATTTTTTTCTCAAACTACTGAACCAATAAGATACAGGGTGTTCCATTTGAAAAATCTTTGTTTTTTCGAATATCTCAGAAGATAAAGCCCCCATATTTTTTCTAAGTACGCCACTGGATTCTACGTAAAAAAAAAACGTATTTTTCCTTTTTGCACTTTTTCTATATCTCCGTAGGGTAAGAAGTTATAGGGGATTATAAAAAATAGCTGATTTTGAAAAACACCCTGTACCTCGCAAACCAATCTTTTCGGCCAAGATCTGACTACACCATCAAATGACACACTAAAAAAGAGGACGGGAAGCGTATATCAGTTTCTCAGTATCTTCGGCCATTTTGGCTGTACCCTATCAAACTATCGAAAATCAACCACCCTGTACAACAAATAGAAACTGAGCATCATATGGAAAAATTTCAGAAAATAGAAATGTTAGAGTTGAGGAGAATTTTCAAAAGAATGGAAAACAAGGAAAGTAACACTGATGCCATAACTGTCCAGCTTCTTAAACATGCATTTGAAACCATAGGTGATAAATTTCTGAATATCATTAATCAAAGTTTGGAGCAAGGAGACTTTCCAGATAAGTGGAAGAAAAGTGTGGTTGTGCCAATTGAAAAGAAAAAAGGTACTGTGAAGTGTGAAGAATTTCGTCCAATTAATATGGTACCCCCTTACGAAAAAATATTAGAAATGTGTGTTAATGACCAAATAATGGCTTACATTGAAGAAAATGGTTTACTAAGTCAGTACCAGGCTGGCTTCAGAAGAAAGAACTCATGTGAAAGCGCTCTACAGACTGTTCTCTTTGATTGGAAATCTGCATTGGAAGATGGAAAAATAATAGGTGTAGTTTTTTTAGACTTTAAAAGTGCATTGGAGACTATTAACAGAAAGTTACTTCTCCTGAAGTTACAAAAATATGGGTTTGGTCAAATTATTTTGAAATGGTTTGAGGATTACTTGAGTGATCGTATGCAAGTAACCAGATATATTGAAACCTCAAGCGAGAGGGAGTCTAGTTATGGTGTACCCCAAGGTACGGTGCTTGGGCCGTCACTTTTCATCTTGTACATAAATGACATTGTGAGGAATGTTCAGAACTGTAAAATACAACTTTTTGCAGATGATAACATCCTTTATATATCAGGTGTCAATATTGATGAAATAACAGACATAATAAATACTGAACTTGATAATTTGTTTCGGTGATTGAACAACAATTACCTTCAGTTAAATGTAAATAAAACCAAAGTTATGTTTATTAGAAATAAGAATAAAAGGTTGGTTAATAATTTGAATATAAGTATAAATAATGAAAAGCTAGAAATTGTGAACTGTTTTAGGTATCTTGGTTGCATGATAGATGAGCATTTAATCTTTTCGGATCATTTTAAATATATTTCAAACAAAATGGCAAAAAAAGTTAACTTATTAGGACGTATATCAAAGGACCTAAGTTCATGGGCTAAACTAAATATATATAAAACAATTGTTGCGCCACACCTCTATTTTTGTTCAACCTTGTTGTTTCTAATGAACAATTCTGAAGTTGATACTTTACAAAAAATACAAAATAAAGCATTACGAATCATATTGGGATGCAACAGATACACTAGAAGAACTGATATGCTGAGTCTCACAAGTCTTTTGAGTGTTAGGCAAACTTTGACCCTTTACACCATGTTGTTTATATTCAAAATGATTAACCAACTAGTTCCCCAACATCTTTTGAATAATTGCAGGTTTGTTAAAGATATACATGAATATAACACAAGATCCAGAAATAACTTTTATTTGTGAAATTTCGTTACATAATGTAAATATTACTAGCCAAGTGCTAAATAAACTGATTATTATTATTATTATTATTATTATTATTATTATTATTATTATTATTATTATAGAATCTTGCCTCAACTATAGACCACTTTATCCTCTTTCCCACGATTCCAGTGATTTGAATCCTTTGACTCCAGCACACCTGCTAATCGGCGAATCTCTAACTGGCTTACCAGACCACAACTTTATGGATGTTAAAGGTTACAGAGAACACAACAACTTTACCAACACTTCTGGTCCAGATGGACTAAGGAGTACATAACCACGCTTCAAAATCGTGTTAGATCATTTGAAAATAAAATATTGTATTTCATTCAGAGTATTCTTTACCTACTTCCACCGAACACACTCACTAATCAAATTGAAGGCAAATTGTAAATTGAGGCACTCATATTTTGATCCAGTTGAATAATACCTACATATGAAACAATGAAATAAAACTCACATTTTTACTAATTATTAAAACACAATTATTTATTTCAATAAAATGTAATGTACAAAGTATAAAATTGCAATCTTATATAAAAATATAAAAAGTTTTTGTTCGACACTTCCAAAAATATCAGAGCCAAATAAATAAATAATAATTTAAGAAAAAGGTACATAAATGATTAAACAAATTGTTTAATAACACAAAAACATCGATAAATAATGTGGATACAGTAAAAAACAGTACAACAATATTGATATATTTGAATATTAATATAAAAAACTTATTCAATTTTTTGGACTGACAAAATATAAATTCAATAAAAACAAATTTAAATTAAAACTATTTACAAAAATTTGATCCAAAAACTAAGTAGATTACATAAAAAAATCTTATTTATCAAGACTTTACAGAGGCTTATAATTGATATATTCGTGGCCTCCTTCAGGTGGTCTTGGCACGTTCATGTACTCGTTGCGTGTTGATTCTTCCTTTGTATTTGTTTCATTAAAACCTGTAACAATATGTATTTCAACTAAAACTCTTCAAAAAGTAAAAATTTCTATTACCTTTCACAGGTTGCCCATTTGGTGGACACTGAATATAAAATTGTTCGTTGATGGGCAACGTAGAAGGCCTGGAAATTGGTTTATTTTCTTCAATAGTCTCGAAATGATACAGTGCTGGAAATTTGACAGGCTTAGGTGCTGGAAGGGGAGTATAATGAACGTCCGCTATTGTTTTTGTAAAGAATTCAGCATCTGGGTTACTGGTTGCAAATAGCTATATTACACAAATAATAGTTAAAATATTGTTTTATTTTAAAAAATAATTCTTATGTAGGTACCTTTCTGTCTTCATTATCCGAATGAGTACCACTATCGCCAACACTGCAACCACTAATAGTACTCATCCTTGCACTAGAACCACTTGAAGAAGTACTCAAACTGCTGACAGGCCTTGCGCTTTGATTCAAAGCCAATGCCGGTCCGATGACGTTTAGCGAAGTCAATTCAACCGGTTTTTCTTCTTGCGAGCTGTGCTTGCGGTGTCCAAAGAAGAGTTTTATGAGACGCTCCATAGGAGACGGCTTCTTGGATTTTGCCTTGTATTCTTGTTGCACTCGGTCGTAGGCTTGTCTTAGTTCGTTCAGTTGTTCCTGTTTTTCTTTGAAGGATTTTTGGACGTCGTTACGATTTTTCCATTCGGTCACCAAACGTTCAGTCTGGAAAAAGCAAAGAATTGGTAAGAGTCATAAGTTATTTGATTTCTTTTTAAGAGAGGTTTGAGAGCAAGAATTGTCAGTTTTCCATTTATTTTTATGGCACAGAAAGGAAGACTATGGAATTGTGACAGGTTGGAACAAATGGATCAATGAGATCTATATTACATAAGGGATGAAGTGTTGTCAACCAATCCACTCCACTCTAATCAACATGCATATACCCCCGGGAAATCATCGAACATCCCTTCACCTGGTTGCTGGGTGAGTAGAAAAATCGCTGGACAACAGAGCCCTTAGGGTTTTTATTGACATTGAGGAGGACTTTGAAAAAACCATCTTTCAAAAAATTAGCCACTCGCTAACAGAAAGGAATACTCCAGAAACCGGATGGATATTCAATATGCTTTCCAAAAGAATTATACAGATAAGTACCTATGCATTGTGCACATTAAAGGAATGTTCACAAGAGGCTGCCCGCAGGGAGGCGTGCTATCACCTCTCCTGTGGAAGAACATGGTTCTGGACAGCCTCATTGTCCGTCTAAACAGTGACAACCACTACACAATAGCTTACGCAGATGACGTAGTCATTTTGCATAGAGGAAAATTCGAGAACTCGCTTTGCGAACGCATGCAACATGCTCTTTGAATTATAGAAAGATGGTGCAGGGAATACACTCTATCCATCATGACCTCGCCTGGAATCTACCGATTCCAGCAGAGTTTCGGCCGGTATCAGCTAATTTGCATATTTCCGTGTACCCCGCCGCGGCCCTGACCCATCTTTTCGGCTATAAATTGAGCAGAATTTGCTGGTAAAGGACAGTCTTCAACCGGTCTCCGAAAAGCCAGCCGACCTGACAGCAGTGATAGCAGCATCACCACCAGAACCGTCCGAGGTAAGCCAACCCGCCATAACCACAGTAGGGGTCAGTTCTTGCAGGGTCGCGAATTACACTAGAAGGTAAAAATCAATTATATAAGCTTCACTAAGATTTTCGCCCGGTACCTTGGACGGGTAAATCTTCTCCTGCAATAGGGGTTTCGCCCGGTACCCTGGACGGGTAGTCTCTATTGCTCTTAAAACTTCGCCCGATACCCTAGACAGGTATTTCTCTCCGAAGCTTATTTATAGTATCTCTAAATCCCCATTCATTCTTTCACAGGATTAATTAAGGGTTTTCCCTCTATGGGCTTTCCTGTAAATATTTTCCGGTAATACAGTGTGTTATATTTATTTAAGTTTATCGACTGTTGTCTATTTCATTTCCCCAAACCAAGGTTTACAGAAAATTTCACAGAACAAGCGTCTGTGGCCCCTGGATTACCGTTTCTCCACTGTAACAAGCTACCTGGTGCACGTGGGCCCTCAACCACTTTAATCCTGAGGGTGGCGCCCGAGGCAAACCGTTAGGTAAACCGACTTACACTAAACCCGCGTCGATTACGCAACAGAAGCGCCAATTTTGTAAGGCGCTTTTGCATGGTGATGCTGCTATCACTGCTGTCAGTTCGGCTGGCTTTTCGGAGACCGGTTGAAGACTTCCTTTAAGTTATCGAGATGTTCCGTTTCCCTAGGACGATAATATCGTCGAGATAGGTGAAGCAATAAGGGTCAAGTTCGGGTCCAATCATACGGTCCATTAGTCTTTGGCAGGTGGCCGGCGCGGAATGGAGTCCAAACGGAACTGAAATAAGCCTAAGCCAGCCACTGTAAAGGCGATTATCAGTTTATTGTGATCGGTCAGCGGGATTTGCCAATAACTCTGCTTGAAATCGATACTGGAAATGTGATGTGCCCGCCGGAGTTTATCCAAAATGGCATTGGTGTAGGGCAAGGGGTATGATCCTTTTTGGAAATATGGTATTGATTTTCTGAAAGTCAATACAAAACCGGTACTTGCCGTCCTTTTTCCGGACCATAACCACACGGACTGGAAGAAGGCTCGATTATTCCCTCTGCTAACATTTTTTCTACCTCATTGGTAATTAATTCCTGCATATTACGGTTTTGCGAATGGTATCTCTGGAGTGTTAAATTAATGGTGTAGTCCCCTGGATTTCCTCAAACTTTGGTAGCTCCTGATACAAAAATTCTTTTAGGCGGATTGCCTCCACTCATTGTCAGCTCTACATTTGACATCGGCTCAATCTGACCAATTGGGCTGTACAAATTTGAAGCGTCCAGTGTTTTGTTGTAGAAATAAACTCGATTGGAGCGGAGGTCCAATTGGAACGAGTGCCTGCCTAGAATGTCCATGCCCCGCACAACTTCAGACATAAGGTGCGGAAAGTTACTTAAGTTTTCGATCAGCGTAATATTTTCCAAGCGTAACGGAATTCGGTTAGCCTCCGTTATATCTATTACGCCAACTTTGCACTTCGGACGGGTGGTGTCACTTCTGGGGCTTGTTTTTGCCGACAAATATAGGCGGCGAGATCTCTAATATAAGAGTTAGGCAGCTCCGCTCTCTACAAGAGCCGATAATGGCGTATCATAAAGATATATCAGGATGTAAGGATGACACTCAGATATGTTATGCGTCAGAGTAGGATTCGAGGTTTGTTCACTACGGTGCTGGTCCGACCTCAGAGCAGAACAGCGCCGGCTTAGTTTTTCAAACGAGGGCAAGAATCTGGGGTCATAACGCCTTGTTTTGCGCATTTCGAACAGAATAGTTTGGCTCTACATCGGCATTCAGTACGGAAATGTCCCGGTTTCCCGCATCTCCAGCAAATACTGGCATTATGGCTGGTATTTTCATTGGTTGGGTATTTCCTGGTTGTGGAGGTCGGTCATATCTTGGGTTTTGTTGGGACCCTTCTGAACGTCGATAACGGGACTCTTCTTTTGTCCGGTTTTTAGGCGGATTATCGGTGGAGGAGATATCACGGGATGTTGGATACGGACTCCTTGATGAAGAAGATGTTGTTTTTAACTCGGCCAGCAGAAGCTCAATTTCTCTGATAACCGGTGAAAGTGAAACCACGTCGGTAATGACTGTTTTCTGGACATGTTGTCGATATTCAGGTAACAGATTGCGGTACAACCATTGAAGCTTTCCATGCCTCCTGATAAGGGGTTTGCAAGTCTATAAGTCTATAATATATCGGTGGGTTGCCTCGTTCGGTTGTTGGAGCGGGCAGCTAATTTTGATCTCCAGGTCGACGGCATATTTGAACGGGAAATAAAAGCTGCGAAAATCCTGCAGAAATTCGTCCCAGATTTTCCAGTGGGGTCGGTTATTTCGGTACCATAAACAAGCGTCGTCGTAAAAGCTCAGGAACATGCGGCAATACACGGTCTGTTAGTATCCCCTGGGAGGCACAAATTTGGTCCAGATGTCGTCCAGATACACCATCACTTTATTTTGGAAATCCGCTCCCAAAGCATTATCTACAACGCGCTGCCAAGTTGCTGGAGCATTGGTCAATCCAAAAGGCATCCTACTGAACTAAAATAATCCTCGTCCAGGCACAGTAAAAGCAGTAAGTTCACGAGACTCAGAACTAAGTCCTATTTCCCAAAAGTCAGTTTTTATATCTATGCTACTTAGATATCGGGCATTACGTGAATTGTCGAGGATCGAATTGATATAAGGTATTGGGTAACTGTCCTTTTTAGTGTATTTGTTAAGAATTCTGAAGTCTAAGCAAACTCTATAAGTATTGTCTTTTTTACGAGCTGGACATATTGGTGTAGACCAAGGACTCTTCGAAGGTTCAACCACACTAAGACTTAACATTTCGTCTAAAGCTTCGTTGATAATGTTGTGCTTGTAGGGACATACCGGGTAATACCGTTGTTTGATGGGTTTGGTACCAGGTTCTAACTCAATAACATGCTCTGCAGCTTTGCAACAACCCAATCCAGTTCCCATTAATGATAATTTGGACTTTACTAAAATATCGAGCTGTAACATCTGATCTTTCGTAAGGGTTGATTCATCTTGAATGCTACAAATAGAAGGTGGCAACTGATCGTCTGTAGTAAAATGCCAAACATCCTGATGTAAATCCGGTACAATACCCATAGAGGTCCAAAAATCGACACCCAAAATTAATTTATGAGATAAATCAGGCAATACCAAAATATCAAACCTCTTAGTTTTATGTTTCAAAGTCAGAGGAACCTGGACATAGCGTATGCTGGAACAAGACTGACCGTACATGTGACAGTTTCTCTTATTAATTTAAGTCCTACTTTGAGCAATATTTCATAGCCAGGCAAACCAACTATAGCCCTAGAAGCTCCACTGTCCAATAAACCCAATATTGGAAAACCAAGGGTAGACAATTCAAGAAATGGACGCTGGTCGCCTTTTGCATGAGAGAGAATAAAATCTAAAACTAATTTCTTCGAAACTGCCAACGAATTATTAGTGGGGGTCATCAAATAGCCTAATGTCGATTCCTCCGGAATCCTTTTCCCGAACAATTAGGACAAATACGAACTATAGTACCCACATTACCATGTTTAAAACAATGTAACTTACGAGGCTGTTTACATTCCTTACTTGTATGACCTACTTTCTGACAATTCCAACAAGTAATATGGCTTGAACCACGAGGATTTTGTAAATTTGAATGAGAATTAGAAGTCTGTGCAACGGCAAGAACATCAGTTGGTGATTCTACACATGAAGTTCCCACAAAGGCAAAGTCAGGATCGACTAAATTATTACGTCTACGAGAAGGTGGTGCGTGATGTTCTGCACGATATTTCTCTGAGTCTAGCTTGAGACATTACTTGTCGAACTCTTCCAAAGTGTCAACGACAGGAAGCTGGGTGGTATAAAATGGAGACAAATTGCGAATGATAATCTCTAACTGGGCATCTTGCAGAAACAAAGCCAATTCTAGTGTCAAAAATAAAATGTAACAACTCCCCCTCTCCTTGGACGCCTATGGATATTTATGTCAAGGAGGTCGTTTCAACCACAATGATGCGCTTCCGCTCTGTTGGAATAGAACCAAATGCACAAATCGGTTTGCAGAGAGCCCGCATATGGCGTGAGACCACGAACTCGCTTCCATTGTTGGAGGCCAGAGTAGACTCTGCAACACTAGGGGTAAGTAACATTTACACTGATGGTTCCAAAACTCAAACAGGCTCGGGATGCGGAGTATACTCCAAAGCTCTCAATCTGAACCTAGCTATAGCCCTTGGCTCTATGCCTAATGTCCTCCAAACGGAAATTACTGGCATAACCATCGCGGCCGAGCAAATAGTCAGCAACAATATCACTGACAAAATCGTGCACATCCACACGGACTGCAGACAAGCAGTAATAGCGCATAAATGTAATAAAGTGCAAGATTATAAGATCCTCTTACCTCTGCCATAGAATGAATATTATTCTTGTAATCCTTAAATATTTCAGCCAACTCCATTTGGAATTTATCTTCAATCACTGGCTCTTTCTGTTTTCTCGTATTGGGCGATGGTGACCTATGAGTTCGTTTTTGTTGCTCTTTCTTTTGACTGATCTGTTCATCTGAAACTTTGTGAAGGTCTTCACGAGAAAATGCTATTGCTAAAAAAGAAAACATACATTGAAGCAACTAATCCAATACTGAAAGTTAAAAAACTTACGTGATCTATCCATTGCTAAATACAAAGAACTTCCACAATCACTTGAAGGAGTTGTACTGGTACTGGGAAAACTTCCAGGATTCACTGGCCTTGGGGCAGGACATAATTTGTACATATTATTGTACATATTCTCAATTTGTTTTGGTTTTAAATAGCCTTCTTCATCTAAAACAATTTAAATTAAAAAAAGTAAATCCAACTAAAAGCAAATTATTACCTTCATCATTATTATGTTGTAAATTAATCTCCATAAGCTTAGTATAAACTGTAGCAACTTCATTCATATTCATGTAGCCTCTTAGCATTTGCGATAACATACCATGTCCATTATCATCTGCAATCTCAATAGGAGTCTTGCTAAAGCAATTTCTAATTTCGTAAGCTACATCTGCTCCGGGACAATCCATAAGTTGAATGGCTAATTTTTCCAATCCGAATTTGGCAGCGAAATGAAGAAGAGTCGGAAATTCTTCGTTACTGTGCTTGTGAACGGATATGCTGGCAGCAAAAGGTGTTGTATGAGTTCCCAGTAAGTTCAAATGTGGTGGTAAGTTCTTTTGGAAACCTTGTACCAGCCAATTGTCTAGGAGATCTCTATCTGCTGGACTAAAGCCGAGAGTCTAAAAATATTGATATTAAATTATGTATCAGGTGCAACAATAAATATGCTTACCTGTGACATAAATTCAACTGGGTTATTGCTAGACCTCAAAATAAGTTCCAATTCTGTCATTTTGCTTTCGCATTTGATTGGTTTGCTTCCAATAATGCTTCCATTTTTCTCCACAAGGATGTTAATAATTGCTCTAGTGTTTGTCAAGTTTTCGGGCAAAGCAATTTTGATAACGTAAGGATTTCGTCGCTTCATTGATTTGACTTCTTGCAGTTCTCTGTTGCGTTCTACGGAAATTTTTACTATGTCTTCTTTTTGGAGCGGATATGCCAGGATGATGAATACGCTGTTTTGTCCCTGGAATTTGACGATTTTTTTTTTTAGGAATATTGGTTTAATTTAGCTGTTGAGAAACTTACCTGTTTTATTTTTTTGGGTGAAATGGTGAAGCAAGCTTTTTCTTGGGATACAACTGAGCTTTGTTGTTTCCAGATTTTTGACAGTATTGCCATAGCTTGGTTTAGAAATTCTTTGGTGAAATTTTGGTCTTGGTCTTGACCTACAGATTGTCTTTGCCATTGAAAGTATAATGGAAGAGCTAAAATAATTATTGATGTTAGGTTAAAAGAACAAAACTCATTAAATAAGGAATAGTTACCATTTTTGTGAACATCAGTAAGATCAACATCTTTGACTCCCAATAATAGTGCCAATGTTCTATCAGGTAACAAAAGTTTAGACAAACTAGCAGACTCTTCAGGGTGTTGGGCGATGAAGTCCAAGAATTCAGGACAAACGACTACAAGTTGAAGTTTTACACCGGTGGTGCCTTCAATAAACTTGGTATCTTCTATTTTTGGAGTGAGTGCGTCTTCTAAAGCGAGATTTTGAATTCTGAAAAGTATTTTCTTATAAGAAAAGTGTTGTTTATTTGTGTGATTGTCTCTTACTTGAATGGTTTTCTTTTTGCCTGATTGCTAATTTGGTCGAAATAGGATGCAAAATATTCCACCCAGAGGTTGGCAGGCTCGCTGCTTTTTCTAGAGACTATGAGAATGTCGTCCATATTGGCTGGTTGCTTTGATAATGTGCCTGGAACAAGGAGAATTTGTTTTCAAATGTTACTGCCTATACCCAAAAATTTGCCGTTTCCAATAATTTTTCTTATTTAGGCGAATATGTTCAAAACTATCTCTTTCTCACCATAAAAGCACAAAACATCATCTTAATAACAGAGAATACATTCCGACTCCCCACGGAGCTTAAAACTAAAGTAATGACGACATTAAAGATATTTTTTTCAGACGATTATCTCAAAATGTCATTTGAAAGTAATTATAATAAATAGGAGACCGAATTCTCTCGATGCGATAAGACTTTTCAGTGGCACTTTCTTGTAATTGCTTCTGATAAAGAACATTAATAATAATTTCTTGGGATAAATGGTTTGATACATACATAGGGACAGACAAAATAGAAAGGTTTGATTTTACAGATTAGTTTTGGACTGGTACCTGAACTTAGAGAGAACGAAGTACGATTGGCTAATTTATTAGTAGAGAATGTCGCAATTAGCCCACATTTTTGTGATTAAGAGACTCATTTTCCTTCAAAATGTGAATTCTAAAGATTAACCAGGGCTGGGACTGAAACGAATAGAGATATTTTCTCTATTTCTATCGTCCCCTCTCTATTGATTTTGAAAAGAGAGAAGAAGATAGCAAGTGCCATAGCGATGGGAATAACGATCTATATCCGTTGCAGAGTCCCAGCCCAGGATCGCTCTTCCTAGTAGTTCATTAGGATACACCTAACTTGACTGGAAAGAAAGGAGTATGTCATTATTATAAATAAAGACTACGGGATTATCTGCCTAAACCTACCTATACTACTTCAGAAGAGACAGGAGAGCACAAGGGGAAAACCACTAGTGGAATCATTGTAGATTTTTTTGGGAATCACATAGTAATCAATCAGGAATATATGGAAATCACTTGGGAGTCCCTGGGAATCGCTAGAAATCTCTCAGGGTCTTTATTCTTGAAAAAAGGGAGCCGCGTTCGCAGGTGAACGAGTGTTCTGTCTTTCTCAATGATATGCAAATGATAATATAAGTAACAAAGACGAAACACTCGTTCTCCTGGTAACGCTGCTCCCCTTTTCCAAGAATAAAGACCCAGGACGCCATAGGAATCACATGGGAATCAATTGGCAATCGCTGAGAATCATGTGATAATCGCTGGGAATATCATCTTATTCGAACCCAGAAATCGTATATCATACATTTTAAACGATACAGCGTACCATTCAGTTGTGTATTTGCCTTTAAGACTGAGTTTTAGGCAACAGTGAGTGCTAGACAATTTGAAATGTATTTGATATCCCAACGAGTTTCCCAATAACTGATAACTGAGGTAATAACAACCCCGAGACTATGAAGAGTTGAGGACTTGAAGAAGAGAACGAGATGAAGATTAGGTCTAATCTCACAAAGATCACAAACCAGTCAGAGATTTTTTGATTGGGGCAAATCGCCAACAACCAGTTTTCTGTTTTCGAATGGAGAGAATGAGATAGAATAAGGAGACGATAAAGAGAGAAGAAGATAGCAAGTGCCATAGCGATAGGGGTAACGATCTCTATCCGTTACAGAGTCCCAGCCCAGGATCGCTCTTCCTAGGAGGACATTAGGACATACCTACCTTGAATGGAAAGAAAGGAGTATCTCATTATTATAAGGAAAGACAACGGGGTGATCTGCCTAAACCTACCTATCTTGCTTCAGAAGATACAGTGAAGGACAAGGGGTAAACCACTAGTGGAAATCATTGTACATTTTTTTTGGGAATCACATAGGAATTAATCAGGAATACTTGGAAATCACTTGAGAGTCCCTGGGAATCGCTAGGAATCTCCCAGGCCCCGTATTCTTGACTGTCCGGGAAGGAAGTGTTCCCGGGAACGTTCCCAGGAAAGCTAGTTCACTTTCGCTCCCGGGAGCTAAAAGGTCGTATTCTTGAATACCCACAAACGCTCGCAATGTTGCCGCCTATGCGAGTGTCACTCGGACTAACCAAAACGTATTTTCAAGCGAAAAAAACGAAGAGGAAGTAATCTAACCCCAACGTTTGATGTTTATTATTGTCTATTTTTCCAAACTTTGAAAGCTGAAAGGCGTTTGGGTTTGATAATTTATTTATTTTTAATTAGGTACCCTATGAGCATCATCGCTGTGTTTTCGATAATTGTATTCCTCCTTTGGGATTTTTTATACATGAGGGAAATATTCCGCATAATTTTCCGCAGCATAAATTCCGTATTCCTGTTCCTGAACTTCATGTGGCTCATCAACTTCTGGAATACTGTGTTCAATGCATACCTTTGTAGTTTTGGTTGAAGCCGAGATTTGCATTGAAGCGGTAACATAAGGAGTAACCATGTCCACTATTTCGTGGCATACATTTTTGCTCACTCCTAAAAATTTCATGAATTTCTGATCAAGGGAAAAAGAATTCTTCGACGCAGAACATCCCATCCTATTTCTTTCGCTTCCGCAGCATTTCCCATGTATTCTTGGATTATGTTCTGTATTCAAGATAATCTCATTAAAATAATCCACATTCATAAAAATGACACACATAGAAACGAAAAAGCCGTGAACTTGGTGAACTTGAAAGGAGAATACAAAAACAACGTCAAGTTTGAAAACAACGTCAAGTTTTGAGGTTAGAAACCCTGGCGGGAACTCGTTTTCTCTTGGGTGAGAGGATGGGAACTTCAAAATTCCCGGGAACTTTCACTTTACAGTCCCATTTTCAAGAATATGACATGTACCGTTTTGAGGTGAACCACGCTCACTTCCCGAGCAAGTTCTCCTCCCAGAAATCAAGAATACGGCCCCAGGACTCCATGGGAATCACATAGGGATGGTGAGATGTAAGCTGGAAAGGAGGCTCAAGGTAGAAAAATGCTAAAGGTGCTGGGCACATGACCATGTTAGTATGTTACCAGTTGTTGCAAAAGACTGGACAGAAGCAACCTTTGCTACAAGTGTTGAGAACAAGGACACAACACAAAGGAATGCCAGGAGGAGGAAGCATGTCTACTGTGTGAAGAAAAAGGGCACAAGGCTGGGTCAGGCAAGTGCAAACAATACCGACCGTATACAGGAGAAGACTAGAGCATCAGACGACAGGGGGGAAGAAGGGCCACGAGATATAGGCATATCGATATAAAGTTTCTGCAAATAAACGCAGACAGGTCGGCAAGGGCCCATGACATGGCCTTCCTAACAGCAACTAAAGAACAGGTGGACATAATCATAGCAAGTGAACCCAACCGCAAGATCCTCAAGAACAACAAGGATGGTTTACGGACAACAGAGAGGATGTAGCAATCTTTTGCGCAAACAAAAACATCAAAATCGGAAAGATCAGTCACATCTATGCATGCTACGTCTCCCCCAATATACCCCAACAAGACATCGAAGCATATGTGAACACGCTAACTGAAATGGTCACTGAAGGAAACCAAGAGTCAGTGGTACTCGGGGACTACAATGCAAAGTCGCCCCCAAAAGGGGACAGGTGTGTTTGACAGAATTCAGGGATTTAATATTCCAAATATTGGTGAACCTGATACTGCCTTATTCTTTTCTGGGTACCTACTCGACATAAAGATCACTGTTTGGAGTCTGGATCAGCTGGAGTGACGTCACCCCAGTAATCTATCCTCGTCCTGGATACAGGAAACAACACGAAGAGCTCCATTTCACTAAAGTGAAACCCCAAAACCCATTGAAGAGCTCCGGATTGGAAAGGTACATTGTATCAGATTCACCGGAAAAAAACCAAGCTGTCAACACTAAAATTTTACAGAGAGTAACACTGACTACTTGGTTACTACATAAAATTGTAAACAAAATAAAATAATTTGTTTGTTGGATTTTGAGTGGATTCATTTGCACATAAAGGGACTACGTGTTATCTTAATCTTTTGAATTGCACGACCCTAGGTTGTCTCATCTTAAAGTGCAAATAATCATATAATTTGTAACAAATTGGCGCCCAACGTGGGGCGCTAATTTGTAACAGCCCTTGTGCCTCATAAATGTCATAGGAAAGTTTTTCGAACACCTTATAAAAGGCCGGCTGGACAGAGAAATAGAGGTGAAACAAGGGATCTCTGAATACCAGTATGGTTTTCGAAAAGGCAAGTCGACTGTCGACGCCCTAGAAAGATTGATGCACACGGCACAGGAAATCAAAATGAGAAGAAGGGGGAAAGGTGGTGTGCCCTCGTAACAATAGATGTCAAAAACGCGTTCAACTCCGCTTCCTGGGAGAAGATTATTAGGAAGCTGATACAGCTCAGATTGCCTAGATACCTTACCAACATTGTGCGAGACTACCTGAACCAAAGATACATACTGAATAGAAAAGAAAAATTTAACTATCCGCCGGCATACCGCAGGGGTCTGTGCTGGGACTACTGTTGTGGAATATATATCACGACGAAGTACTGAGACTCGACTTTGCAGATACGCGGACGATGTGGCAATGATTGTCGCTGCTACATACAAAGAAAAACTCATGAGCAACACAAATGACGCCCTGAGACGAATGACATCTGGATGTCCGAGAAATCCTTGGCGCTGGCACCCGAAAAGACAGAGGCAGTGATACTGGGCGGACGCAGAAATAGACAGGACCTAAAATTCAAATTGGACGTAGTATAGATCCAACAAAGGTAGTTCGGTACCTGGGGATCATGAGATCGGGTAAAACATTACCTTTTGTCCACACATACAGAGCATAGTTACAAAGGTGAGCACGAAAACTGCAGCAACGAATAATGCCAAACATAAAGGGGCCAAATACGGACGAACGTAGAATCCTGTACGGAGCTTTACAGTCGGCGATTTTATACGGAGCTGAAATATTATTACGCTCGGAATGCAGAACTATAGAAACATGCTCGAAAGCGTCCAGAGAAAAGCCCTTCTCAGAGTAGTGTGTGGCTACAGAACTATCTCGAGCGCCGCCATACTTACGGGCATTCCCCCTATAGACCTAATCGTGGAAGAAAGAAAG